GGGGGTGGGGGTGGAGGAATCTGGGCAGTGGGATGAACGCCAGGGTGGGGGGTTGGTGGAGTTTCTTTGATCTGGGATTTTGGAGCAAGATCTGAGAAATATGGATGAGTTTTTTATTTTTTATTTTATCTTTTTAATACATTTTATTAAATTAATTATGAGGCAAAATAAATAGAGTAACTGTAAGGACTTTTTATATCTTAAAAATCAATCTTAAAATATTGAAAAAAAGTTTTTTCAAATGTTATTATTTTAATATTATTAAAAATATAAGATATTAAGATAATTATAGAAATTTACGATTATATTAGAGATGCATACTTACTGTTTAAATTTCATTTCTGCTATCCATTTTGTTGAAAGGTGCCCTTTTAAGTATATTTTTAGGTTGCTAAAGGAAAAAAAAAAAAAAAAAAAAACCTTTTCTTAGGAAAAGAAAAATGACTTTGGTAAACAAACCTAAATCAATGATGATTTAGCAAAATTTACCCCAAACCAATAATGATTCAATAAATGATTTATCAAAATCAGTTTCTTTAAATAGGGTCATCCACGGGTAACATGTTAGAATGATTTTTCAACAAAATAAAATTAATAAAATGATCTTTTTTTATTTTTTATGAAGAAAGATATTTACTCAGTGAAATGAAATTATTTTACAAATAAAAATTTTTAAGAAGTTATTTTACTAATAAAATTTTTTAAAAAGTTATTTTTACAAAGCGTCGTCATCCACTCCAACTTCCCTTACTATATATATATATTAATATCAATTCATAATACGACATGTCGTATTTATACAATCGCACTGTCGTCCGTTATTGTCTGATATTCAAAAGTATCTGTCTTTTACGTCTTACACGCCATGTCAAAATCTATCAAGACAAGAAAAGTGAATCTATCCATCCATAATCTACGCCTCAACAATTCTCAAAATCCATTGTCCAAAAAGAATCAAATATAAAATATCGTAATTCATAAAACATCTCTTGGGGGAAAAAAAGAAAATTAAAAACCCGGAAAAATGGAAGCCATTGGTGTGTCAAGTGAGAGCCAAGTGAAGAAGGCCAAGACGGGATTGGAAGGAACAGGTTTGGATCTTCCACCCAATCGCCATGGAAACTTGAAGAGTGCTTCCTCTGACCAAAACTTCAAAGAAATTCTCATGGAAATCAAGACTTCCAAAACTCCTGTAACCTTTCATATTAACATTAAGACTTTTTTCCTTTTTTCTTCTTTATTTTATGGGCTTTAGTGAAGAAAGTAGTTTACTTTTAAGTTGTTATTATTTTGCAGGCAGTGATCAACTATGGAGCATCTTGGTATTTCTCTATCCTTTCAAATACTTGTTTAATTGATATCTAAGTTAATATATTCAAGTTTTCGTACAGCTGAGAGTTAAACCCAGAAGGGTTTGATACATAATTTATGTTAAAGTGTGTATTGTGTGGTATAAAGATTATGAACACAAGGTGTTTGATGCAATGTCTATGTGAACTATGGTCAATCATGCACATGGTCTCGGAACCTTGACTTCAATTCCACTTTGGTCCCTGAGTTTAATAACATCCTAAACTTAGCATCGATTTTTCAATTTGCTTCAGCTTTAGCCCTCGTTCGTTGATTGTTAAAAAAAGGATGGACTATGCACGTGATGCGGATAGAAACTAACAGTTTGCTAACGGCACACGGAATATGCACGTGAGGCTGACAGAAGATAACAGTTTGCTAAGGGAACATTGATCCATATTCTGTCCTTTTTTTGAACGTCTAACTTGAAACCGAAACAAACTAATAAATCGAGGTTAAGTTTGAAATGTTTTAAACTCAGGGACAAAAGTGGTATTGAGGTATTCGGGAACTATTTGTGAGGTTAATCCTTACTGATATTAAAACTACTATTAGTATTCTTATAATGATACGTTAGTTTCTGGACTTGGATTTTAGACTATTGGTAAGGTTGATAGTTTCATTTGTTTTAAATGGTGGTTTCAGGTGCCGCGTTTGCAGCCAGATCCTCCCTTCATTTTGTAGGCTAAGTAATGATTTTCCAAAGCTTTCATTCATCTACGCCGATATCGACGAATGCCCCGAAACTACCCTGCATATTCGGTATACACCTACCTTTCAATTTTACAGAGATGGTGAGAGGGTGGATGAGATGTTTGGTGCTGGAGAAGAGCGGCTTCATGATCGGTTGTGGCTGCACTCTTAAGGATAGTGTGTATTGTTGTATGATATGTTTGCAGTATAGTGATCTATACAAGTGACTTTCTTGTTATGACTTCCTCTTTCCTTTGTATTTGAATGGTGTAATTAGTGACATGGCAATTGCAAAATTGACAAGCCCTTTTCTACATGATAAATATTATGCTCACTTGAACATCAGAGAGCATGTAATAAGTATATACTCAAATAGTTCACATTCTAGATTTCTGGATAGCTTCCTTTTCTTCTTAAACAATCATTTACAAAATAGATGGGGGTAAAAGAAATAAAATCAAGAAATTAAAAAGCGAGAAAAGCCTCCAACAAAATGATACAACAGACCTAAACTCAAAAGCACACGTCTCCTTTTGTAAGGCTTCTCACTTGGTTACTTTTTTAGCCTTGAAAAATAGACCTCAATAGAGAACATATGTGTGCATTGAAGCTTGTTTATTCTTCTCTCTCAATCAAAATCATGACTACGATTATTATCACTTGCATTTTGAATATATAAAACACACTTGAATTTTAATTTAAGCCTTGGGCTTGAGGATCTTTACAGTCTCCCAAGTGAAATCCGGGTCATCACGGCCGAAATGTCCATAAGCAGCAGTCTTTTGGAACCTGAAGTTGCCTCCTCTCTTCAAGTCAAGATTAATGGACATCATCCCAGGCCTAAAGTCAAAATTCTCCTTGATAAGAGCCAATATCTCCGTGTCCGGAATCTTCCCTGTCTTGTAGGTGTCGACATAAACCGATAGTGGCTCCGGCACACCAATTGCATAAGAAACTTGCACAATGCAGCGGCGGGCAAGGCCAGAAGCCACCACACTCTTTGCAGCCTGCCTGACAATGTAAGCACCACTTCTGTCCACTTTTGTTGGGTCCTTCCCTGAGAAGGCACCTCCACCATGAGCCCCCCAACCGCCATAGGTATCAATGATGATCTTCCGCCCGGTGAGCCCCGCGTCCCCATGTGGCCCACCGATGACAAATCGCCCTGAAGGGTTGAGATGGAAGATGGTTTTGTCATCAAGATACTTGGCCGGGATCACAGGCTTAATGACATGCTCTTTCAAGTCCCTAGCAATCTCCTCATTGCTGACACTCTCATCATGCTGTGTTGAGATTAGCACCGTGTGGACTCGGAGAGGGATCATCGCGCCATTTTCATTCCTGTACTCGACCGTCACTTGGGTCTTCCCATCTGGCCTCAACCAAGGACATGTCTTGTTCTTTCGCACCTCGGTGAGCCTGGCACCGAGCTTTGTGGCCAAGACATGAGTGAGAGGCATGAGCTCGGGTGTCTCATCCGTGGCATAGCCAAACATGTGGCCTTGATCGCCAGCGCCAATCTCCTCGGGCTTCTTCGTGAGGTGACCGTGAACGCCCTGAGCAATGTCGGGGCTTTGCTGCTCAATGTTGACAAGGACCTTGCAGTTATCTGCGTCAAGGCCAACATCAGGAGAGGTAAAGCCAATCCCTCTGCAAGTGTCTCTAACAATCTTCTCATAATCAACTTCGGCCTTTGTGGTGATCTCCCCAAAGACCATGACCATGCTGGTTTTGGTGCATGTCTCGCAGGCCACTTTGCTCTCCGGGTCTTGCTCGAGGCAGGCGTCGAGAATGGCATCGGAGACTTGGTCGCATAGCTTGTCGGGATGTCCCTCGTTCACAGATTCTGAGGTGAAGAGAAAGGTGTCCATTTTCTAGCCTGCAAATTGGATACAAGGTTTAGTCCTTTCAACAGGCCTATTTTGAACAAAATTTGGTACTTTTGTTTTTGGAAGCAAAAGCTTGGTACTTTTAAGAAAGAAATGTAGAAATGTTAGATCTAAATGTGCACACATAAGACTTCAAGATCCGGGTCACATCACAATGGTTGAATAGGATCCAAAAACATGATATTAGAGTGTATATATATTAATAAACGCTCATAGATCTGCTCATAAGAGAAAAATTGCCTGGTTATATTGGTTGTCACATTGAGAATGGAAAATGTATACATACACAAATTTACATGACATACATTTATGCACACACACACACACATATATATATATACATGTATTATATATACATGAGATCTAAAGAAGAGGAAAAACCTGTGTAAGGTGAGAATTGGGGAAAGAGAAACAACAAAAATCCCAAGAAGATGAGGTGAGCGAGGAAGGGGATAGATATAGTGATATAACAATATATATTCATATTGTGTGTGTGTGTGTGTATATAGAGGAAAGGATGTGGGGTGGTGGACAAAGCAGACGTTTGACTCGCTCTATGTGCTGTTGTATGGCTGGTTCCCCTTTCTCATTGGCTGAGATTGATTCTGTGTCGGTGAGGGGTCCCACGAAATGTAATTTAGTGGGGTCCACCAAAGGGGAGAGGTGGTCGATGTTTCCTTGACCAATCCTACTATTTCTCAATAGATCTTGCCAACTAAGGATTTGGGTGGTGAACTAACGTGCAAAACGGACTCAAATTTGTTGTTTCAATTTTTGATGTCTTAATTAATATTTAACCAATCATAATTAAACATATAAAAAAATTAATTTTTAAATGACGTGTTACAATTTAATTGATTAAACATCATTTTACACTATGAAATTAGACAGATAATTTGAATCCATAATGAAGAGGTTAGGAAAGTTATGAAATTTTTTATAATAGATTTACATGAACACCATATTTGGTTGTTTTTCTTTTTTAAGAACAATACAACTATCCATCTCTTTATTAAAGACGACATCTGTAACCATGTATCCAGAGTTCACAAACACACATTATCAATAGATATTTACTACCAAAATTTTGCCTTGATCTATCTTTTAAGAGGTGAATGGAGAAGAAGATAATTATCTGTCAATGATCCCTATCTTGGTACATTATTCATGTCAATTTGGACGTTAGAAGAAATTTATAGGGAATTAATTATTAGTTTTGCAGTTGAAGGTAAATGCAATAATATGATTGTCAATCCATTTGTGCGGATTACATCTTGAGTTAGAGTTTATCAGTTTAGATAAACGTTTTCAGCATTATATTTGGGCATAAACAAACTTTGATTCCATAATAAATAAATAAATAAACTTTTGCAGATCATGCACTTAGAATAGTGCAAATGGAACATAACTGTTCAACTTTGTAACCATAACATTTATCTTTAATATATATATATCAAATATATGTGTCCCAAATCGCTTAGAAATGGAAACATTCTCCTCAAACTAGTGTATAAAGGTGGAGATTTATTTTCAAAACTATGTTAGCTCGGCCAGTTACTCAGGAATCCCGAGTATTCCATTTCCTGATGTTAACAATGTATAGCGGTCAAATAGGATCATTTTCTTCTCAAAACCTTTTACTTTTTTTTATCATGAAGAAGATTTGGTTTAGCACGTTCTATTTGATACGGTTAGGAGAAGAGTCCAACTCGGTATTCTTAAAAAAAAAATAGAGAAATTCAGAACCAAGTGAAAATGATACGGATCAACTCTTTCTTCTTGCGCCAAAGATCTTACCATTTCTGAAGGAACTGGAGTGTGCATCAACATAAATATGGCAGTAAGAAGAGGTAATACAAAAGTGTGTAAACTATAAAAACGAGTCAAAGTGGATTGTCTCACACTAGCACTTCCGCGTAATAACTCTATCAAGGGTGATCCTATTACAGGAATCACTTTTGATACACATGTTACAATTTTTACTGTCCAATAACCAATTTAGTCACAAAATAAAGAATAACTCTATCAAGGGTGATCCTATTACAAGAATCACTTCTGATACAATAACCCAAGTCAATTCGCGAGATTTTTTAAAGCTAAGAGTATTGTATTCCATTTATTTGATTGTTTTATGGACATTAATGACCACCAAAATAGAGAAATAGACTATAGAAATTGAACAGCCAAAATTTAACAGGAGAGTGGGAAAAACAGGACATGTTTGGTAAATAGAAAAAGGCGGTTTTTTTTCTTTTCTACTTGGACATTTGTCTATTTGTCTTTTTTCTGTTACCGCCCTTTCACCAAATTGTTTAGCTCCTTTGTCTTTTGTGTCCATCGTTTTGGATTTCAAAACCATTCTCTCCACCGTTTTTGGAATTGCATGAAAACTCTTTTGATTCTCAAATGATTCAAAATCAATAATTAGAATATTTACTGCATATTTCTCCAAAAAATTCAATGATTAATTAAAGAAAATAAAAAAGAGAGCAATGTATATATCTATATATATAAATAAAAATAACACGGATTACAATTACTAAGATTCTACTTCTATTCTAACACAGTCGTTTCTTGCTCTTAAGTTTCTTATTCTTTTTTGTCCATTTTTTCTGTTCTAGAACCGTCACTATAGACAGCGATATGATTTTATAAACTAACATTGTTTAATGAGAAAAATACATTTTTCTTTAGAGAAAAATGCTTGTATGACCAAACAAAATCCTGACCCCTCAAAATAGCCAAATCTATTCATGTGGTGAGGTGAGCCACAACCAAGTGTGCAGGGGCACGTGCACTCTTATAATTTTGAAATATGATACTTAAAAAGTTGTTATAAACTCTAATTAGTTTTTCTCACGATAATGGAGAATTTCCCATGACAAACTAATTAGTTTTCTTTTTTTTTTGTAAGTTTATTATTTTCAAATGTAAAACTATAATTCGTTTATTGAAAATTACTTTAAAAAATTTATTGTTTCAAGCCAAGATTAGAAATGCGATATATGTATATATACACACCTAAATAACAAATAATAACTCGGTTAGGAATGAAATCTACTTACACCTATTGATTATGCACAAGAAAAACAAAATTTATACCTTTAAATCTAAAGTAAGAAGCAAAGTAATCACATACTATTATTTTAACTTCTTTATCATAATAATATTTTAACCATTGTTTTTTTTAAAAAGCTTGTTCTAAGACACGTGCCCTAAGTACCTAATTTTTAAACTAAAATCATACCAAATAATTGCAAAATGTCAATTTTGTTTGAATACTCATTTTCTTTCCTTCTGCTATACCAAACAAGATAAATGGAAACTAATTCCTTTTTCTCATCCACATTTTCTCTACCATTTACATTTCCTAACTTCACTCCTACCAAACAGAGCAATATCAGTGTTTTTTATTTCTTGAGTTTCTGTAATCCATAATTTTTATTTTTCAATTAAGAATCAAAAGTGACCGGTATGTGTCATCATAAAAAAAAGTAATGACATGTTGCATATCATACACGTTTATTATGCTTATAATAACCGAAAGTAAAAAAAAAAATGTAAAACTTACAAAAGATTAGGTTAAATGGACCCTTTATATAGAACCTTTATATAGAAGTAAAAGGAATGAGCAAGATCATAGTTAGTAGCTTATGCCAAGTTGGAGGCCAAGAGCCGCGTGAACAAGAAATAGAGTCATGATTCCACTACCCAAGATACCATGAAGATTTCGTAATCCTGGATTTCCCTGCATATAATTTAGAGTGAACTAAGATTTAAAAAAAAAAATTCCTAAGAAAAAGCGAAATTGAATCTCACGAGACAAAATAAAGCATACAAAAATTAGGGACAGAAAGTAACCTCAAACAATGTAGGAAGAATGGTTTGAATGGTCAAGAGAGCGAGGCCAATAAAGCCCGTAACGGCATGTGGGCTGCAAATCAACAACCAAACAAATAAAACTGTGGTCTTAATTGGAAAACACTTAGAACCTATTCGTTTCTTGGTTTTGCGTTGAGAACTTGAGTTCAAAAATGCATTTATGCGAGAGAAAATAATTAGTAAAATTGTTGAATTTAAATTTTTGTGAGAGAAAACATTATAGTAAAAAATTTGAGTTGCGATTCAAATTGTGAAACGAACTCAAATTATGAGAGATGTTTTAGCATTTAATTTAATTTTTTTTTTAAGAGAAGCTATTCTTTGGAAAATGTACTTTTGAATACCTCTCGAAGATGGGCTTGTCAGAAGTGAGAAGAGAAGTTATTCCACCAGTTGCTCCAAGAGCAAAGAAGAAAAACATCCCACCTAAAAGCTTTGGGTGCAAGTCTTTGGCTTTGGCTCTCTCTTTCTGAAATAATCAAAAGTATATCATGAAATTCACTTCTCTAAACATAATTTAAATTAAACTGTTTGAAGTGGAACTCTTACCAAATCGTCAGAGAAACGTATCCGAAATCCCAAATAGGTTCCATAGCCACCCATGGCAAAGAGCACCACAGCCTTTTTTGAAGGACCAAAATGATAGAAAAGTTACATTACACCGTATGATAGAAGTATGGATAGTTATAATAAAGTGAGTTATACCATATTTCCAGGATGGCCCCAGTGCACAAGCCAATCAGGAAGATTCCATGACTTGACAAGCTCAACAAAAGGCCCAAATAAAGATCTTACAGCCCCAGCTGTCATCCAAAATTTTTTTGTGCTTGTCATGAGTGTCAAAATCCTATGATAGTCCGAAGTAAACATCAAGAAAACTACCCAAAAGGCAACTAACATAACTACCAAAATTTTTTTATCGAAACCCAAAAGGGTATGAATAAGACACGATTCTGAACCATTCGATATGTATGATAATTTAATGAAACTTGATGAAGATGATATGACATTCAGAAATATGCACTGATGAGGTTTTTTTGTCGTTGCCACGGAATAAAATCTAAAGAGTTGCAAATAAAAATAATAATAATAATAATACCTCCAGGTAGAGCAGCCACAAGCATCAGAGGCAGAGGACTAAATGAGTACAAAAGGGTCTCACTGGATTCTTCCTTGTCTTCTTCTTCTTCTTCATCAACCATGTCAATAGCTTGGGAAAATGTGTCTTTTACAAAAACACTAGAAAGCAGAGGTCGTCTTCTCCTTGATGTTGGCATTGCAGGCACCAACTTAAAGCGAGACTTGCCATGGTAATTAGACAAAGCTGGGATATTGGGAAGTTCGGTCGAATACTTTACCAAAGGAAAACGACTTCTCAGATTAAGACTAGCAGAAGCAGTCACCGTGGCCATTATTTTTATGCACACGAAAATATTAAAGAGAGAAAAGATGAGAGAGAGAGAGAGAGAGGACTGAGGAAGGACAGAACAGAGAGTTGAAGAAGAAGAAGGAGAGAGAGAGAGAGAGAGAGAGAGGACAGAACAGAGAGTTGAAGAAGAAGAAGAAGAAGAAGAAGAAGAAGAAGATAGAGAGTTGTGGGAAAGGTGAGGAAAGAGACACGCCTCTTTGTACTAAACGCAGATACTAGAAATATAACATAGTAATCAATGTAGCCGTTCCTTTATCACGTGATCACCGGATAGTGGGCCCCGTTACGACACCAAAAGATGTCGCCGTTCCCGTGGCGGTTGTAGAGCGCGAACAGAGATTAGATCTATCGGTTGATGGACGCCGTTACACACCAAAAGTTTTAAGCGTTCCTTTGGCCATTGCAGATTGTGAAGAGAGCTTCGATCTAACGGCTAATGGGACCCGTTACGACACAAAAAATTGTTACGGTTTCGTGGCGGTTGTCGAGGGCAAAGAGAGCTTTGATCTGACGGATTGTGGGCCTCGTTACGACACCAAAAGTTTTCACCGTTCCCGTGCCATTCATCGATCGCGATGAGAGCTTCGATCTAACGGTTGATGGGCCCCGTTACGACACCAAAAGTTTCGCCGTTCCCGTGGCAGTTGTACATCACGAAGAGTGCGTCGATCAAACCGCTGATGGGCCCCATTTCAACACCAAAAGTTGTCTTCGTTCCTGTGGCAGTTGTAGGGCGCGAAGAGAGCTTCGATCTAACACCCGATGGGCCCCATTAGGACACCAAAAGTTTTTGCCGAAAACGTGGCAGCTGCAGATCGCGAAGA